GGGGGGGGGGGGGCAAGAGTCTTGAATGAGAGGCTGAGGGGCTAAGGCCCCCTGTTCCTGAGGGTGTGGCAGAGCCACAGCCGGATTCTGAGCTGGGGAGAAAGGGCATCACTGTCTGGTCTGGGCCTGCCTTGGCCTCTGAGAGTTCATAAGAGAAGGACAGCCCAGGTCAATCTCACCCTGGTGAGCCAGATCCATGGGGGGCAGGGGAGATGACAGAGAAAAAGAGACAGAAAGGGAGAGAGGGAGAGAGACAAAGAGATACAGAGAGAATCAGAGAGATAAAGAGATTGGGAGATGGAGGGAAATGGAGATAGACACAGAGACTAAAAGAGAGATAGAGAAAGACAGAGACAGAGAGATGGAGAGAAACAGAGAGTCACCAAAACAGAGACAGAGGGAGAAGTTGAAGAGACAAATATCCTCCAGAAAGAGGTGGGAGTGACCCAGGGAGGACCCCCTGGGGTGGTAGCACGAGGTGGGTTGGGGGCTTGTCCCTAATTCCTGGAGGCAGCACTGAGAGGGGAGGAGAAGGGAGCACAGGAGCCTCCCTAGCCCACTCTGCACCCACCCACAAGTCCTCCTCAGCCCGTCCAACCACAGATGGGGAAATCGAGGCCAACCAGCAGGCCACAGGGGATCTCCCTGGGCCAGCACCATGCCCCCAGGCTCAGACGGGACCTGTGTCACCAGGTTAAAAATGGAACCTGGTCAGGCCTATTTTTTTTCCTTTGAGAAAATCCAAGGCCCAAATAAGGTACTGGCTGCGGGTGGCTGGTGAGCTGGCCAAGTTCTCCTGAGCGAGTGGTGGCTGGCCCAGCAGCCTGGGCTTGGGCCTCCTCCAAGACTCGCCCAAGCAGGGCGGCACGCCCTGGGAGGCTATAAGGGCCTCCACTCCACCCTGCTGTTCACTCAGCCCCAGCTCCAGATCCCCCCACAGACGCCGCCACCTGTGCCCCTCTCCACCCAGCCATGGAGGCCATCAAGAAGAAGATGCAGATGCTCAAACTGGACAAGGAGAACGCCATTGACCGAGCTGAGCAGGCCGAGTCAGATAAGAAGGCTGCTGAGGAGAAGTGCAAGCAGGTGAGGGGCCGGCTGCTGGGCCGCACCAGGCTGCCCAGTGACCTCTCTGGGCTGTCGAAGCTCCGGGCTGAGGGTGGGGTTCTCAGAAACCTTGGTACCTGGAGATTAGCAAGGGGACAAAGGGTGATGCTCCAGCCAAGAAAGAGTGAGGGGATCATTGTCTTCCCAGGAAGGGTCCCTGGGCTGGGAGAGAGAGGGGTGGCAGGACCCACCCAACAGGGCCAGTGGGAGCCAAGTGAGTAAGAAGAGGCATTTGTGTGTGCTGGGCAGTAAATGTGAGAGTGTGTGTAGGTGCATTGGGGTGAGTGTATCAGTGCGGGTGTATGTGTACTAGATGGGGTGGTTGGGGGACACTGTGTGTGTGCACGTGTGCGTGTGCGTGTGTGTGTGTGTGTTGAGGTGGCAATGCAAAGCTGTGGGATGGGGGGGGTGACCCTGTGCCCATGTGACTGTGAGCCTGTGGGTTCACATTGGCGACTGCCCTGGGAGGGTGGCCAAGTGTGGGTGTGTGGTGGGGCCAGCTGTGACTGACTGCAGGGGCAGCTGGGTGAGGCAAAGGGTGCCTTCCGATGGCCGGGCATGGAACCCAAGTCCCCATAGGTCAACTTCCCCACCTGTGGTTGGGAAGGTCTGGAGACCGGACGGAGTGAGTGGAGATTTGAGACTCTCCATGAGGATTTGCTTATCTGGGGTGCCCCTGCTGTCTTTACTGTGAACCTGGCAGGGCAAGGCAGGGCTGCCTGTGGCAGGCAGAGGCCCTGGACCCAGAGCTTTGGGGACAAGAGTCCCAGGAGGCTCTGGCAGAAAGGGTATATCAGGAAGCTAATGGAGCAGCAATGGCAGAGGTCTGGGCAGTCCCAAGGCCATGACTTGGGGCAGAGCAGAAATCAGTTATTGGGGTCTAGGTAGCCAGAGCAGCCAGTGGGAGGAGGGAAGGGGGTCTTGCCCCTTCCATAGTGTCCTACTCTGCCCCCCCCCCAGAACTCATCTACATCCCCTGAGTCAATTGCCAAGCCTTCAGGAGCATCAGGGTCTCAAATAAGCCCCAAGAGCTGCCCAAGGCTGCCCAGCCAGGGCACCAGGCCAGCTTGGCAGGTAAAAGCATAGGCTCTAAGCTCAGGCTGGCCCTGTTCACAGCTTGGTCACTGAGCACCCTGGAGCAAATGCCTTTACCTCTCTCTGTGCCTTGGTGGCCTCTTGTGTGAAATGGGGAAGTGACAGTGGTACCTCCGTTGAAGCCATGAGAGGATTAGAGGTGACTATGCAGGTCATCGCACCTGGCATGAAGTAAACGCTCAATAAATGCAGGGTTGTTTCCTGCCCCTCCCAACTTCCTAGGGCTGTGACACATCTGTATAGGTCAGCTCCACCTCAGCCCTCCCTGCCACAAATACCCCTCCTCCCTCCCTTTGCCCCTCCTTGACAAACACTGCCGCCCATCCCATCCGGTGCTGGCCCTGGCTGCCTTCTTCCACCTATTATTCAGCCCTCACCATGAGGGGCTTAGCAGAGAAAAGCTGCTTGATAGCTCTAACTTTCACTAAGGTGTGAGTGACTGATATAGTATACTCTACCAAGGCAGACACAAGTTCAAAAGGGAAGGCTCCTCAAAGCCTCCAGGCAATTGTGTGGCCAAGAAGGCAGGGACAGGTTCTCTGGCCTCCAGCTGGATTTTCATTATGTTCCTCCCTCCCGCCCCCCAAAGGCTCCCACTCTTGTGGACTTGTGCTCAACTCCAGACTGGGTTATCTAGCTTTGTGACTCAGGGCATGTTGCTCCCACCCTCTGAGCCCTTAGTGTTCTCATCTGAGAAATGGGCCAAATGATGCTTCCAATGGCAGGGCATGAAACCCAAGACCCCAGAGGTCTAAAGCAAAAGCCAGAGCCCCATGGAATCAATAGTCAGTCCTACCTGGGAACAGAGGCAGGAGACCCACAAGGGACTCAACTTACCCAGAGTGCCTTATGCTTCAGAGGAGTCCAGAAAGCGTGGGTCTAAGAACCAGCTTGACCCTCAGGGACCCTGCAGCAAAGCCCTGATTCCAGGCCCTTCTAACCTCACCCCACTCCTTGTCTGTTGAGTGTGGGAATGGGACAAAGAGGCCTATCCTGCCTGCTTCCTGCCCGCTCCTCTCCCAGGGCAGTGACATCCGCCACAACTCGCCTTTGACCCCACATCCTGCCTCAGTCCTGGCTGAAGCCCCCATTTATGGGGACTAAGGTGTGTAGCCCATGACCCTCCCAGCTGTTTTACAGGCAGGGAACTTGAAGCCAAGAGAAGGCTGTGACTTGTCCTAGACCTGCCAGAGCCAGGGCAAGGCTCCGCCCACCCAGCAAGGTGCTACACACTAGCACATACTTTATGTGTGGAATTCAGAGGGAAAGGAACCAATTCGTGTCAGTCTTATGTATTTTTCAAAGCAACTCCAACCATTAAAGGGTTTGGGGTTGTGTCGTTTATTCTGAGAACTTTTTCCATGTTCTGTGGTGAGCGCCCAGCCAGTGCTGGGTGATGCTGGGGCCCAGAATGACCTCAGCCCCAGCCTGACATCCAAGGAGCCCCAGGCTGGGGGAGATGGAGCCAAACATAGAGGGATGCCCCCTGCCTCCAGGGTAGGGGTAGACCAGGGAGGAACAGGGACTTGAGGGTCCCAGGGGGTAACAAGAGCTCAGCCCAGAATAGCAGGGCTAACTGCCCAGTGGAGGGGCTTTGGTGCTGGGTGTGGAAGGTCAGTGGGAGGAGAGTGTGTTGGGCACTGAGCAAAGCATAGCCTCTCTAGGAGCAAACCAACTTGGAGTCAGTTTGACAAGGGTTCAAGTCCCCTATCTGTATGGACTGGGGCAAGTCCCTTCCTCATTTGGGGTCTCAGTTTACCTTTCTATAACATGGGCCTTCAGTAACGGGCCTGGCACAATCTAATTGCTTCCTAGCCCTCTGCCCACTTTATCCCAGTCCCCACCCGTTGTCCAAACTTTGCTGGAAAAGGTTGTCAAAACCCAATCACCTTTGTAGCTAGATGGAGCACTCAGAGACCACCACGTCAATGCTTCCATTTTGCAGAAGAGGAAACTAAGGTTAGAAAAGGGGATTGAGTCATACAGCTGGGGCTTGGAGTCAGGCTTCTGGGCTCTGTACCTAGAGGTCAAGGTCAGGCCCCATAGACCCTGATTTAGGCCTGAGCTGCTGCCACCCTCTCCCTCCTCTGATCCTCTAACCCCTTCCCCATTTCCCAGCTCAGCATGGGACACTCAGGGGTCCCCAGATGGGAGGCTAGGTGATGTCACCTTGGGACAGAGCCCTTTTTAAGAATTTGCACGCACACACACATTCACACACTTTGCACATCTCAAGGGTGACCATGTAACCCAGATCAGATTCCCAGCTTGATCTAAAAGCTGCAGGAACAGCAGATTTTAACGTACCCTCTTCAGGAAGGAAGAGAAGGAAGCCAGAGGGGGGTGCAGGAAAGCAGGCCTGGCATGAGGACCTGTTTAGAAGTGGGTTCAATTCCTGTGCTGCGTGACCTGGGGAAAGTTACTCTATTGCTTTGGGCTTCCTGCTGTGAAGAGGAAGCAGGATGATGAAGGGGGAGCCCAAGGTGGCTGCTGGGAGCATGGACAGGATCAGAAGGAGTGAAACTACCGACAACATAAGTCTGATTAAAGCATGAGTTAGACTGATCACCTCAGCCCAGAATTAGGGGGAGGAGCAACCTGGGGTTTTCCTGAGAAGTCTTCCTGAGCTGACCCTTGACTGATGATGTGCTGCGGGCAATAGAGATGGAGAGGTGAAGGAGTGTATAGTTTGTATGTCATAGAACTGAGCTTCTCAAACTGGGGGTGTAGGGAGAGGGCCAAGACCCTCAGGATAAACAAAGATGACTCAAAATTTGGGAATGTAGAGAATATTTTTATTAAAATGAACACAAGTGAGATGTGCAAGAATTTAAAAGATTTAATCTGAGCCTCAGAAAAAAGTGGTCTTCAAAGGATAGCTCTCTTCTAGCCAAACCCCCAAAATCCAGGAGTGGGGGGCATCTGAGCCCTTAAACCTTTCAGGTTATTTTTGTGAGACGGTGTGGGAACTGCTCTCTTGGGCAATGGGGATCCATGGCAGGTTCTAGGCAGGGGGAGGACAAACACACTTAGAAAGGTTTTCTGGCTCGGGTGATGGTGCAGAACTAGAGGGCCATCCAAAGCTGTACTCGATTACCCAAGAGTACTGGGGGACCCTCAAAAAGGTAATAAGCACTGCTGGTCCCAGGTCAAGGAAAGGATGTGAAAATCAAGTTCACAGGTAGCATTTATTGAGTGGCGCACAGTATCGTTATCCCGTTTTACAGATGTGGAAAGAGGCCCAGAGACTGAGGACTTCTGTGAATGTGGGGGAAGTCCCTGCACCACGGGGACATGGCCCGCAGGCTGACACGTTCCCCACTCTGTCCCCAGGTGGAGGAGGAGCTGACGCATCTCCAGAAGAAACTGAAGGGGACCGAGGATGAGCTGGACAAGTACTCCGAGAACCTGAAGGACGCACAAGAGAAGCTGGAGCTGACAGAGAAGAAGGCCTCGGACGTACGTGCGCAGGAATGCGGCCGCCCGCGGCGGGGCCGGGCTGGAGCCCGGGGCAGGGAGGGAGGAAGAGGAGGAGAGGAGAAGGAGGAGGAGGAGGAGGAGGAGGAAGAGGAGGCGGTGCTTCCCTGCGCTTTCTCCAAATAAGTCCCGAAAAGGGGCCCTTTCCAGCAGCTGCGGCCAGCGGTGCCGACGTCAGGCCCTCCCCCAGCGGTGCTGACGTCGGCGGCCGGGCTGGGTG